CTTTAAATATTTTGTAAATTTTTATCACTATCTACAGAATGTTAATCACAGTAGATAACACACAATTAGCGAAATATACAGTGTGTTTTTTATGTTCTAAAATAAAATAATAATCGCATCGCTTGTCAAATGATCTTGTTCTATTATCGAATTTAAAAATTTCATTTTTTTTTGTTAATTATTGTTATCTTAAATATTAACTCTCTTTTTACAAAAAAAAAGAAAGAAAAAAAAATGCTCATAAAATATATCAATCATACAAATTATTTACCTGGTAAAATTAAAATAAAATGAGAATAAAATAAATATTAAGATGAAATTTAAAAGATTATGTGTAACAAGCCCTGGTCACTCCTCGACTCCTCGATTTTACACGCTTTTGACACGCTCTGTATGTCGGATGCGAGAAAAGCCGACTCGCGTTATCGTTTCTTGCGCAACATTATCGCATCCCGATCCCATAAATCTCAATCCACTCGAAGGAGGTAAGTTCGGACTTGATGCATTGTTATTCTGCCCTATTTATGTCGCGGCGGGTTAATCCGGCGTCATTAGTTATCCCGCTTTAAAGCTCGGTCTTTCATGACGACGCGCGGACGGCAAGCGTGCCGATCCCCTCGCGTCGTTTTGTAGGCAATGCCACTCTCGGACGGCTCACTTATATCGTGCTGCAGGTGGCCGTTTGTACTTATCACGTCAGACTTTCACCTTATCGCACAGTGAATGTAACATACTCCGATTACGAGGTGGACGCTCGCTCATGCGTACCCGCCGCGCAAACCCCCGTCATTTTTTTCTCGTCAGTGTATGTGCGATTGACGTTTTCTTGCGGCCGTATATACTTTCGTAACGATTTCTTTACAACTATCGTATGCGGAGGAAGAACTTGTAATTTTGAGGCGTAAAGTTACGAATAAATATATTCCGTTACTTACGTTTTTCGGAGCGTTTTTCACTTTGGAAAGTAGAGAAATAAAATCTTAATCGTCATCAACGTCGATTTCGTGCGAGTGGTAACTTCCGGTCT